CAGACATTCCACTACTATCTATCAAATGGAGATAATAATATTGCCCACCTTATGGGTTTACTCTGAGTATTAAACAACAAGTTAAAACAGAGACACTCAACCTTGACCATGTTGCAGAATCATACTTCTTTAATAAGAAGGCTTATTAAAATACTGTGTCTTAGGCCTTGGCCTCAGAAATCTGATTCAGTAGGACAGGGTGGGGGGCCTGAATTTGTATTCCAGGTGCTACTAGATCAAGGACCACACTTTGAAAAACCACTGAATTAGTATGTGTAAAGTGTTCAGAATAATGCCTTGCATAGAGTAAGCACTCAATGAAAACTGAAAGTGAAATTTAGTCACTCAGTTGTGTCTGACTCTTTGCAACCCCATGGACTGTAGCCCGCCTGGCTCCTCTGTTCACAGAATTCACCAGGCAAGAATACTGGAGGGAGTTGCCATTTCCTTCTCCAGGGGATCTTCCCAACCCAGGAGTTGAACCTGGGTTGGGTTCAATGTCTCCTGCATTGCAGGCAGATTCTTTACTGGAATTGGGTTGCCATTTCCTTCTCCAGGGGATCTTCCCAACCCAGGGATCAAACTCCTGCATTGCAGGCAAATTCTTTATGGTCTGAGCCACCAGGGAAGGATAAGCACTCAATAAATGGAGCTATTTGCTATTTCTGAGATAAAATAAACTCCCTTAGTGGCTCAGATGATAAAGAATTTGCCTGCCAATGCAGGAGCCAAGGGTTTGATCCCTGGGTTGGTCAAGAAGATCCCCTGGAGAAGGAAATGGCAACCCACTCCAGTATTCTTGCCTGGAGAATTCCATGGAGAGAGGAACCTAGTGGACTACAGAGATAATATAAGAAATTTTACTTATTTGATATTTAGATTGCCTATAGTACTATAACATCTTTATTGAGACATAACTCATATACCATTAAATTCACCTTTTTACAGTGTACAATTCAGTTGTTTCAGTATATTTATAGTTTGGTAACCATCATCACTACCTAACTTTAGAACATTTTCATCACCTCAAAAAGAAACCCACTTCCATTAACAATCACTCTCTAATCCTTTGCGGTTTTTTGAACTTATAATGTTTCTGTAAACATATATACATATGGTTTCTTTTTTTTTGAAAGATTTTCTCAGAACAAATTAAAGAAACAGATTTTTGAATCAATGAGTCTTTGTATTTTCATGTATAATTACTGATTGAGTCATGAAGTGCCCAGATAATTGGTTAAATGTTATTTTTGTCCATGATTTCAAACTATATTACAAAGCTATAGTAGTCCAAACAATATCATAATGGCACAAAAACAAACACATAGATCAATGGGACAGAACAGAGAGGCTAGAAATAAAACCACACTTGTTTGGTCAATTAATTTATTACAATAGGGAAAGGGTAGTGTCTTCAACAAATGGTGATAATAAAACTAAACAGCTACACCCAAAAGAATGAAACTAGACTCTTATATTATACACAAAATAGCTCAAAATGGATTAAAGACTTGAAGGGAAGACGTGAAACCTCACAAATTTTAGAAGAAAACATAGGCAGTAAGCTCCTTAACAGCAGTCTTGACAAGGAAGTTTTTGAATCTGACAGCAAAAAATAAAGGCAACAAAACAAAAATAAACAAGTGGGATTACAAGCTAAAAAGCTCTGGACAGCAAAGGAAGCCATCAACGAAATGAAAAGGAAACCTATAGAATGGGAGAAAATATTTGCTAATCATATATCTGATAAGGCGTTTACCCAAAATATTTAAAGAAATCATACAATTTAATAACAGAAAATTACCTGATTAAAAAATGGGCTGAGGATCTGAATAGTTCACAAGTTCTTGTCAAAATGGAAAAATTTTCATAATACAAATCCTGATAAATGGTTTAAAAACTATTGGTTAATTGAGTAGGAGGAACTAAAGAGCCTCTTGATGAAGGTGAAAGAGGAGAGTGAATTTGCAGGTGGGTGAGGTTCCTACTCCACACCACCCAGACCTGGGCTTTATCCTACTCAGGGTCTCGCTCAGGGCCAGGTGAGTGGAGACCTGATCTGTTATCAGAATAAATGTCACCACAATTCAATTTTTTTTTTAAAGGAGAGTGAAAAAGCTGGCTTAAAACTCAACATTCAAAAAATGAAGATCATGGCATCCAGTCCCATCACTTCATGGCAAATATATGGGGAAGCAATGGGAAACAGTGACAGACTTTACTTTCCTGGGCTCCAAAATCACTGCAGATGGTGACCGCAGCCATGAAATTAAAAGACACTTGCTCCTTGGAAGAAAAGCTATGTTAAACCTAGACAGCGTATTAAAAAGCAAAGACATTACTTTGCTGACAAGGGTCCATATAGTCAAAGTAGTGGTTTTTCCAGTAGTCATGCATGGATGTGAGATTTGGACCATAAAGAAGACTGAGTGCTGAAGAATTGATACTTTGAGCTGTGGTGTTGGAGAAGGCTCTTGAGAGTCCCTTGGACTGCAAAGAGATTCAACCAGTCCATCCTAAAGGAAATCAGTACTGAATACTCATTGAAAGGACTGATGCTGAAGCTGAAACTCCAATACTTTGGCCATCTGATATGAAGAACCTACTCGTTGGAAAATACCTTGATGCTGGGAAACATTGAAGGCAGGAGAAGGGGACGACAGGACGAAAAGGCTTGATGGCATCACCAACTCAATGGATATAAGTTAGGGCAAATTCCAGGAGATGGTGAAGGACAGGAAAACCAGGGATGCTGCAGTCCATGTGGTCGCAAACAGTCAGACACAACTGAGCAGCTGAACAACAACTCTCTTATTTATAGGTGAAGAGCTCAATTGAGTAGGCTATCAAGCACCTGAGCTTCCACTGTGCCTGAAACAGCAAATAAATGTTAGATGCAGAGGCAAGGGGACTGGATACTTAACTCCTGCCTTCTTTGGGAGTCCAGCAAAAGATTTAGAAACCAGAATCTTCCCACCCTAGTTGCCGAGAAATGGGGAGTTATTAATTGTTTACTTTCAGAAGACTGCTCCAAGTCAGGAAATCTAATTTCTAGTCCTAGAGCAACTTGACAGTTGTAGGTAAAATTCAAGACCATTATTTCCTCTTTTAGTGCTTATTTCCCAAGGCGGATGATGCGCATACTTACTCAGTCGTGTGTGACACTTTAAGACCCCATGGACTATAGCCTTCCAGGCTCCTCTGTCCATGGAATTTTCCAGGCAAGAATACTGAGGTGCGTTGCCATTTCCACTTCCATCTCCAGGGAATCTTTCTGACCCAGGAACAGAACCTGAGTGTCTTGCATTGACCAGTGGATTCTTTACCACTGCGTTACCCAGGAAGTCCTAGGCAGAGGACAGGAACAATTAATACCCAAACAGCTGACTTTACCGGACTGTAAAAACCAGGAGTGAGCTGACATATTTGAAAGTATTAAGAAAAGATGAAAAAGTTGGCTTAAAACTCAACATTCAGAAAACTAAGATCATGGCATCTGGTCCCATCACTTCATGGCAAATAGATGGGGAAACAGTGGAAACAGTGACAGATTTTACTTTCCTGGGCTCCAAAATCACTGCAGATGGTGACTGCAGCCATGAAATTAAAAGAGGCTTGCTCCTCAGTAAAAAAGCCATGACCAACCTAGACAGCTTATTAAAAAGCAGAGACATTACTTTGCCAACAAATATCTGTTTAGTCAAAGCTATGGTTTTTCCAGTAGTCATGTATGGATGTGAGAGTTGGACCATAAAGAAGACTGAGCCCCAAAGAATTGATGCTTTTGAACTGTTGTGTTGGAGAAGACTCTTGAGAGTCCCTTGGACAGCAAGGAGATCAAACCAGTCAATCCTAAAGGAAATCAGTCCTGAATATTCATTGGAAGGACTGAAGATGAAGCTGAAACTCCAATTCTTTGGCCACCTGATGCAAAGGGCAGACTCACTTGAAAAGACCCCGATGTTGGGAAAGATTGAGGGCAGGAGGAGAAGGAGACGACAGAGGATGAGACGGTTGGATGGCATCACCGACTCAATGGACATGAGTTTGGGTAAACTCCGGGAGTTGATGATGGACAGGGAGGCCTGTTGTGCTGCAGTCCATGGGGTCACAAAGAGTCCGACACGACTGAGCAACTGAACTGAAGATAAGATGAGCAGCGCATAATGAAATACTACGTATGCACAAGCTGGGTTTGAATCTGTGTGACCAGAAGCAAGTCATGTAAATCTGAACTGGCTTCATCTGTCAAACGTCCTCCCCTTGACGTCCCCTAACTGGTAGAAGTCAGCAGGTGAGGGGGGCTTTATGCGTTGCCCCCAGGTGGTCACCATGCAGGTGAATGTGCTTATCTTCTGTGTCTAAATTCTGACTCTGGGCTTCGCTGGCCCAACTCTCTTATTTGTAGATGAAAAGAGCTCAGAGATCAAATGACTTCTCCAAAATCACACAAACGCCTTGGGGGTCTATGAAGAATCTACCGCGCCCTGCGTTGGACTCCTAGCCTGGAATGGCGACTCCACAACGTGGCTACCTTCTCAGAGATAAGCTGAGGCCCGTCACCTAGCGGCAGGCCACAGGCAACGCAAGGGAAGCGTCTTGAAAGAGACTCCGGGTACTGCGGCAGCCAAGAGCCAATACGCTCTCAGTTCGCTCAGTTAACTCCTTTTTCCCATTGGACCTCTAAAAGTGTCAGTCAATCATTTGTCGAGTTTTTACTGGCTTAACTCCACCCATTCTACTCAATCTACTAATCATATGGTTCTTTCCAAGAGCATATTTAGATGGTTAAAGCTCCTCCTAAGTCTGACGAGTTTAGCCGGTTCTTCTATTCCATTGGCTGGATCCGGCCCCTCCTCCCGTACATCCTGTTCGGAGCGGAAATGAGAGAGCCCCTCTTTCTATTGGTTTAGATTTGCAAGCGCGGTGATCTCTCAAGTCTATCCTGGCAACGTCCGCTCTCAGGAAGTACAGTTCCGGAAGGGGCAGGCTTTGTGAAGATGGCGGCTCCGGTGAGTTTCGTGTGTTTGTTTCCTTGGCTTAATATTGTGGACGTTTCCTTTCTCCTCGGTGCCTGGAGGCAAATTATTGGCGCGAGGGAAGGATGGTGATAAAAATAGCTCTACCGAGGCGTCCTCCCAGCCACAAGCGTAGTAAGGAGACGGGACTGGAGTTCACTTTCCTTTCCAGTAACGTGAGAGGCTGGCCGGTCGTGAGGCGAGGCTGCATGGGCATCGGAGTGGGAAGGCAGGAAGTCTGGGCTGTTTGAAGGAGAGAGGGGACTTTTCCACCCCACACCTTCCGTCTTATGATCCTGAGGAAAGAAATGACTTTTCTTTACTCTCCCTTCCATAGGAGGTGTTGGAGTCAGACCTGCCAAATGCTGTGGCACTTTTGAAAAACCTCCAGGAGCAGGTGAGTAATGCCACCCCTTTTGGAATAGATTAATTGCAAATCTGCTTTGACTTTGTTTGCCTCACCTCTAAACTCTGGTGATTTTGGGGCATGTGGTTTACCTGGTGGCTCAGCGGTATAGAACCTGCCTGCCAGTGAAGGAGACGCAGGTTGGATCCCTGGGTAAGGAAGAGCCCCTGGAGAAGGAAATGGCAACCCACTCCTGTATTCTTGTCTGGGAAATGCAATGGACAGAGGATCCTGGTAGCCCATGGGGTCGCAAATAATTGGATAGGACATAGCGACTGAGTACGCATTTGAATGACCAGATGCAGGATGATCTAATGAAAACCTTTTCAGGCAACAATTCAGAGTAATTGATTTCTGCATCCAAAAGAATATAGGAAACTTCAGGGAAAAAAGCATCTGAATCAATTTCCTTTATTCCTATAGATAACAAAACCAATGATGAGAAAGGTGATGGTGATTTGCCCTTTGGGTGCCCAGCTGATATACAGTTATATACTAATAGATCTCACATTGCAAGTTCAACTGTACAAAGCTGCAGTGCCCTCATGACCACTGTCCCAGTTCTCATCCCCTATTCCTAGTTTGGTATTTAAGAAGAGGTTGAAAGTTTTTTCTACTTTTTGAAGAAGTATCAGAAACAGCCTGTCCTGTACTTTCCCAGAACTGAAAAGAAGATGATGGTGTACTCAGATATCAGTATTTTTTAGGTGGCTTGTTTAGGTTTTGTCCTTCACAGCTCATAGAGATGACTTTATTGTATCCTGATCAGGGGTTTTATTTGGGTTAATTTCAGGTGATGGCTGTCACGGCACAAGTGCAAACTCTGACCAAAAAAGTTCAAGCTAAAGCTTATCCTACAGAGAAGGTAAGACATAATTGAAGAGTAAGCATCCCTTGACTTAATATTCTCAACAGTTCTATCCATTGTAGACTTATTGAGTATGTTGTGTGTCCTCAGTGCTGGAGCTTTGAAGATGAATAAGATCCAGTTTCTGTGCTGAAGTCTAATAGAGAAGGCAGGTGAAAGCAGTAGATATAAACAGTAGCGTCATGGTGAAAACTGAGGCGTGAGATTAAATGATCAGCAAGGAGCAAAGGGGGTTAGGCCTCTTAGAGGAGGTAGCAGGATTGTGAGGAGTAAACAAGGGTCAGAGGGATGGAAAGAAATAGCATGTGCAAAAACACGAAGATCTAACGCATGATGATATTCTGGAAAGGAGGTATGTCATATAGTGTGCTTTTTTTGTACATTTTATGTGTGTTTTGGGGGCAGGGCTAGAAAATATGACTGGAAAAGTAGTCACTCTACGAAAAGCCTTGTAGGCCAACTAAGGAGTTACTACTGTATTCATTTAATCCAAAATTTTGCTAATTGGTGGGCATATTGCTTATTTTATATACTAAGAAGTACTGCTTGTTCATCTGTGACATACTAAGATACTGTGGATTTAAAGATTTATTCTGACTATGAAAATGATGTGTATCTTAAAATTAAATAGTGATTTTCAAATTAAGGTCTTGAAGTTTCCAAGGGATTATTGGGTGTAGGACAAGTATAGAAGGACTCTGGATCAGTATAGAAGGAATGAGGGATCTCTGGATCCCTCATACCTGCTTGAACTGTGTTGCCTGTTTTATGTATTGAGCTTTTGTTCTAAGATATTATTTAAGCAGGATATTCCATAGGTCAGCAGAAGTATGGAAATCATTATAGTAGGTTAATAAAAGTCAGTGAAGGTTTTTAAAACACGAGATTTACAGCAGACTTGTGCTTTAGGAAGACAACTAAATGAATTTTTAATGTATCTTTTTGCCATTTCTTTCTCTTGATTCATTTTTGTTCTCCTTATTTTTAATCTTTGCTTCTTGTTTTGTTTTAGTCTTAGACACTTGTAACCCATACACTTGTAACTCATAAGCTTGACAATGCCTAAGCATGTCGAAAGATCCTGTTTCTCACATTCTTGGCTGTCTTTATTCTGGGTATAATGCTTTTATGCATTTTAATGCCTTTTTGAGATGAGCTGCTCACATGTATCTTAGATCACTATATATTTATTCATTGAATAGATATTTATTAACTTAGAGAATCAAAGACCTTTATTAGGTGTTTTATAGGCTACAAAGTATTTTCCCATCTTATTTGAGTCTCATGTTACATGTTACAGATGAGGAGACAAAGGTCATAATTTACCCAATATTTGACTATTGAATGACTAATTCAAAAGTTGAGCCCAGCTTGTCTGTCTTTAAATGCTTTGCTCATCCTCCTGTATCATGCTAGTGTTGACCTCAAGGATGTTGGTTTACGGATACTCGGGGCTTGGGTGTTGGAGTCAGACTGAGTTTGAATCCCAGCTCTACTCCTATTACTGTGTTATCTTGGGCAGAGATTATTTAACCTGTCTGAAGTAGGTCTTCCAAGGGCTGTGGAATTTTTCAGTTTTGTTTTATGCAGTCAGTCACTTTTTTTTTTTCCCCTATAACTATACCTTAAGTCTGCTTACACAAGTTACTTTTTTATTTAAAAGAATGCACTTACAATTTATGATTAGCAAATCATAATACACTGTAATGTAATACACTTCTTTGGTGGTGGACTACCCTGTGCAGCATGTGGAATCTTAGTTCCCTGACCAGGGACTGAACCTGTGCCCCCTGCAGTGGAAATGCAGAGTCTTAATCACTGGACCACCAGGGAAGTCCCTATAATGATTTCTAATTGTTAGAAAGTTGAAAAGATGCATAAAATCACAAAGAAGAAAATTAAACATCAGTGTAATCACCATTCTGAGATATCCACTGGGGTACATTTAAAAATTTTGTTTGTTATAAAAGTAACATGTGCTTGATGGAAAATCAATTTTTTAGTACTCTCCATTTCTTCCTTTTACTCATCTTCGTTCACAGGGGTAGTAGTTGCTAATTGTATTATCTTCATTTTTCTATACATGTGAAATATGTGTATCATACTTCTCCCCTCCTCAATTTGAACCACATTATTCACTCTTTCTACTTAGGTAGAAAGTGTGTTGACATAGAATTGAGTCCCTGTCAGTATGTATAGAGATCATTGTTTTTACCTGTAATGTATAATTTCATCATATGGGGATAAAAGCATATATTCACTGTGTGGTATATATTCACTGTAGGGATTCAATAATCACTATAAAATCATAGTGACTGTTTTGGTTAAATTAATTTAAAATTCAGCCCTGTGTGGAGATATTTTTGATTGTCACAACTTGAGGGGTGGGATCAGTGGTAGAGGTCAGGGCTGCTGTTGAACATCCTCTAGTCCTCCTCTGTTCATTGTAGATTGAACAGTGCTCCACAGCAAAGAATTATCTATCCCCAAATAGCAGTAGCCCTTGACTCTGAGAAACCTTGCTATAGTGATCTTGGGGTATACTTTATTGATTTTCCTGCTCTTCCTGTCTTCCATAGTTTTGTGAGCTTTTCTTCTGTCATGTTAGCATAATTTTCTCTGTGGCCGTTTTAGGTATAGCCACTTCCTGGAGACTACTCTAGATACCTTACGTGAACTGCTTGGAGAAAACTTGAACTTGGAAAAAATTATCCAGTGTTCCCTAGGCTCTCTCTCCTCATTCTCTGGTTAAAACTGAATTTGCTTCTTATGATTCAACTCAGGGTCTCAGCCTTTTGGAAGTAAAAGATCAGCTGTTGCTCATGTACCTCATGGATTTGAGCCATCTCATCCTGGACAAAGCCTCGGGAGGTTCTCTTCAGGGACATCCTGCAGTTTTGAGACTGGTGGAGATTCGCACGGTACAAAGCATTTGGCGTCTTACGGGGTCTAAGTTGCTAAATCCTGAACTCCAGAACTGTGACATGATCGCTCTCATTTAAGTGGGTGTTCACATGTTCCCTGGGTCAGGAAGATCCCCTGGAGAAGGGAGTAGCAACCCACTCCAGTATTCTTGCCTAGAGAATTCCATGAACAGAGTAACCTGACGAGCTACAGTCCATGGGATCACAGAGTCAGACCGGACTGAGCAACTAACACTTTTATTTTTTTTTCATTTTTCTCATGTTTAATGAGGAAACCAAATGGAGAAAAAGCATTTTTGTTTTCATTTGCTCTACTTTTTGCATATTTTAGGGGCTTTATCTGGAAGCTTAAAATAGGAACTTTTGGTATGTGCTTATTTAGGGGAAGGACATGTAATGGTATTTAACCACATTTTAGGTTTTGGAAAAGCTTCGTCCTTTGGACCAAAAACTGAAGTATCAGATTGACAAGCTGGTCAAGACTGCAGTGACAGGCAGCCTCAGTAAGTAAGGGAAACTGTAGGTTTTCTGGGGACCATTCAAAAAGTTCCAAGTCTTTTAAAATCTCTTGAATCTTTTATTGTAGGTGAGAATGACCCACTCCGTTTTAAGCCTCATCCCAGCAATATGATAAGCAAGGTAAGAGGCTGCAGTACCCTGGTTTTCCTGAGGGACCTAAACCTGGGTGAACCTTGTGGTGCTCCTGGACCTTCTGGGATTTCTCTTATTACTGTTGACCCCCAGCTTGTACCTAAGAGTGTTGAATGTGAGATTCCCCTTTCTCCCTCTGGTTTGTATTCCCACTTTCCCAGGTACTTCAGCTTTCGATTTCCTTGTCACTTATTTGACTAACTCTTCCTAAGTTTGTGTGGACATTATGTTCCTCTTGTAGTTGAGCTCTGAGGATGAGGAGGAAGATGAAACAGAGGAAGGCCAGTCTGGGGCTTCAGGGAAGAAATCTGGAAAAGGAACAGCTAAGAAATATGTCCCACCACGCTTGGTTCCAGTGCATTATGGTATGAACTGTGACTGCTGCTTCCTCTGTGTGAATTGTGTTTCTCTTCTCTGTTCTGGGATAACCGTTGCTGATTTTTAATCACACAGATGAAACAGAAGCTGAGCGGGAGAAGAAGCGCCTAGAACGAGCCAAGAGACGGGCGTTGAGCAGCTCTGTCATTCGTGAGCTAAAGGAGCAGTACTCAGATGCTCCAGAGGAAATCCGAGATGCTCGGCATCCTCATGTTACTCGCCAGAGTCAGGAGGATCAACACAGGTGCAGTTAGAAGTTGTTTCTATGCTGTAGGGACTTGTCCTTTTGTTTTGAATGAATATGATTAATCTGATTCCAAGAGAACCCATGTTATCTAGGAAATGGGAGTACTAAACTTGGGTTAATGATTTCTAAGAATTAGAGTTTTGAAGTACAGAATGGGGACTGGGGGAAAAATGTCCCCCCCCCCCCACTACCACCCCAAGCTGTTCAAGCTGAGCAAATGCTCCATGGAGAAAAAAATATGCATTGCCACTGACTAAGGCTTTAAAGTTCTGTTTCACTATTCCCACTCTTTATTTTGTGAAGAAAGCAAGAAAATCAGGTTTTTAGATAAGTTCAGGGAAGAAAAGTAGAAAAGCAATTGTTGAACACAGATTTGTCAGCTTTGCCTAGGTGTCAATCTGTACAGTCAATAGATTTCAGTGAGAAGGTCCGTGTAGGGGATCCTATTTATGAAGCTGGAATACAAAGAATTTTATATAATAATTTAAATATTCCTATGGATGGGCTGTGAGTTCATTTCTGGGGGGGAGGGAAGTTTTAGCACAAAGAGCATTTCATTGAACATTGAGTACTGAGCATATAGTATCACCTCACCAAATACTATAGTGACTAGCTCTGAAATTTCTTGAGAACTGTCTACATGATGGCTGAGTAAACACCTGGGCCAGGTTCTTGGCTGCAGTTTTCTACCTCAGTGGACTGAGTATGCTGGAAGCTGTCTGTGTTTCTTCTCAGGATTAACTATGAGGAGAGCATGATGGTGCGTTTAAGTGTCAGCAAGCGGGAGAAAGGACGGCGGAAACGAGCAAATGTCATGAGCTCACAGCTTCATTCCCTCACGCACTTCAGTGACATCAGTGCTCTGACAGGAGGAACCCCTCATCTTGACGAGGTGAGGTGCAGATCCAGTGGTGGGAGGTGACCTTCACGCTCGCAGCTAAGTGTATGTGGGCTTATTACCATGAGGAACTTGGAAAGGGACACCAGTACTTGAAAGCACACAGCCATTCCTTCCCTTCTCCGTGCATCTCCAGGATCAAAATCCTACTAAGAAGCGGAAGAAGATACCTAAGAAAGGTCGGAAGAAGAAAGGTTAGTGAATGGCTCAGACTTGGGTGATCAAGTGCAGCGTGGGCTTTATAAATTGAGATACCAGCTCTGGATTTGCCATTCTAGTTCTTGCAAACCTCTATAGTATCTCTTCTATACTGGGCATTAATCTCTTTAGATGTAGGCCTTTATCTTTTTCTTTTCCAAGGTGAAAAGCAGTAAATTCACAAAAGAGACTTCTGGATTCTCTCTCTGAAGTCCCCATAGCTCTTGTGCAGGCTTACTTACAAAAATATAAAAGCATCACTTGAAGGAACTGTTACTCAATGTCAGTTTCCTTCCTACTTCTAGTCTTTTTTTCCTGGGAGGATACAGAGTACTGCTGAGGGGACCCACTCCTAAGGAGCCCTTTTCTCTAGATGGTCTTTTTTTCTGTCTCTTCGGTTTTTCCCAACTGTCCTTTGCCTCATTCTTGGTTTCCCTTCCTTTCAGGTTTTCGGAGGCGGCGGTGATTATGGTTGTACATACTTAATTTATTTTTGTCATCCGGATACTTCTAATTTCATTGTATGTAGGTTTTTTTCTTTGGAATTAATTCATCATTTACTCCAGACATGTGGAAAGATCTTTATTAATAAAATTGATTTTACTTAATGAATTGAAGCCCCTTTTGCACATGTATTATATGACTGAATCACTGGGTGTGGGTGTTATTGGTGAGAGGGTGATGGAAAAGGGAAAGAGGAGATTTTGGGGGGAATAAGAAAGTTTGGCTTTATATGGTTTTCTTTGATAAATATTTTCCCCAGAAATGAGAAATTGGCTATTTAGTCAAAAAGTATTGAGAGATTAGTGTTAATACATTCTTTTCACCCCCATGTTGCCCCAAGTTCCTGTATGATTTATTGTAATGATAATACAGATAATCTGAAATATATGTACATTTTAAGATTTATTATGTATCTTAGGGGAATCCCCAGGTGGCTCCATGGTAAAGAATCCGCCTGCTAATGCAGGAAATATGGGTTCAATTCCTGCATCAGGAAAGATCCCCTGGAGGAGGAAATGGCAACCCGCTCCAGTATCTTTGCCTGAGAAATTCCACGGACAGAGAAATGGGCCACAGTCCATGGGGTGGTAGAGTCTGTCACGACTGTGCACGCAGGCAGTGTATTTTATTGACCACCAGATGGCATTAGTGGTTCAGAAAACCTTTGTTTTTGACTGTAATCGAATACTATTAAATGGAACCTTTTCCTCATTACCAAGAGTTATTCTTGTCTCCACTTGTCTGAATGTTTTTCTTTTCTCTAAAACAGCATGGAAATAGGGCAGTCCTCAGGTCCGTTATTGAAAAAGTGTATCTAGAGAAAATAGAGTGAATAAGAGGAGTGTAAGTAATCAGTATAGTCTTACGGTTTTCTGACTTGTTGATGCTCCTTTAACAAAGGCTTCAGTTACCAGTTAGTAAAGGCCAGTCCTTTTACAAAGACCTTGTGAAATAATGCCAACAAGCAGGCAGACAGAAAACTCCTACAGACCAAAAGAATGAAATCCTGCAGACATCAGCCCAAGTCAGGAGACTGGTAGAAGTTACATATCTGAGATTTTATATTCGATTCAAAGAAAGACTTCTGTTAGTGAGAGATCCCTCTGGCTTTGGATAATACAGAAAATGAAAAGAGAAATGGGAAGGGAGTTGAGCCTATAGAAATAATTCCTTGGAATTAGTGATGTGTCATGGAGAGGGATATAATTTGGATCACTATGTCACTAAAACCTTGTTGATTCTAAGTCCTATGAATTTGGACTTACATTGGTCTGCCCAGTTGGGGCAGGGTTTGCTTTCAGTCAGCTGTAGCTTGGTAGAAAGTAGTTAAGAGAGACAGTCTAGTACTGTCTTCTGTTAACTCTGTGATCTTCTGCAAATAGTTGACATCTCTGGCCTTTAGTTTCCCTCAGTTGAAAAATAAATGTATTAGACTGAATCTGAGATTTCCTGCAAATCAAGGAGCCTAAAGCAGTTTCTTATGGATACCAAGATGCACTTACTGCTGCGGTCTCTGACTTAGTCCCTGGCAGGTCTGAGCAAGCCTAATGTGCTCAGAGCCTGCCTTTTTCCTTTCTGGCTGAACTAACTGAACAAGAGGTTAGGACCACTACATTCTCTTTTAGGACTAGCTATTGCATTTGCTTCTAATTTGTTAAGATTTTTGGATTGTGGGAACTACCAAGGGAAAGGAGGTGCTCTTTTTTTGTTGTTTTTTAAGGTCTTACTTTGTGTTATATACTGAACTAAGTGCTTTATACTTAATCCTTATAAAACATGTCATCATAATGAGACAACTGAGACACTTTGGTTATTTGTCCAAGGTTATCTTGCTAAAGAGCCAGTGTTTTGGTAAATAGAGGAGAAGGGTGGCCAAGTGTCCTGGGTTTAATGAATGTCTTCAGGGTTTTGTTTTTCTTCTTTATTCCTTAAAAAAGGGGGGGGGGCAGGTAGTTTATGACCTCTAGCTCTCTCCTCCTTACTGTACCATTTCTATTCAAGACCTTGCCTTCAAAGAAATCACAAGTTCCAGACACTGTTCTGGCCTTTTTATGTTACAGGAGTGAACTGAACACACAGAAATCCCTGCCTTTGTGGATCTTATATTAATTCAATCCAGTCTTTAATCTCAGGAAATCTTATCCCTGGCCTTCTAGATGACAGGCGCTATTTGAAAGAGGTTTCCAACCAAAAACTTGAGTAATTTCTGACAATATTTTCACCAGAGTTATCAAACAATGTTTAAAGTACATTGTTGACAGAATTTTTCATGGAATCTCACCCTGTAAAACAGACATAAGTGAGGTTCCTTTGGAGTGGGAATGAGGGGTCCTAGAGCTTCGTGTTCTCATGGCCCACTTCTCCCACGATTTCTGGGGAGCTCCTAGGAACCTTTAGAACTCTGTAGCATGTAGTTTCAAAATCACTTTTATAGTAGTATGGCAAGGAAACTAAGAATTAATTTCAGGGTTTCTTTATGGCTGTCATTTGCTTTTCTTTTTTCCCTTCTTCCTATTCAGATTTAGTTCTCTGGTCAGACCACATGAATGTCAGATCTCATCAGTGCAGAGAATGCATCACTTCCAGCATTCACTAAGTGAGGTGTATCATCAGTGCACATGAGCACTTGTTCAGTTTTATCATGTGGTGTCTGTTAAAAATGTGAAGGATCCTTCCTCCCTAGCAGCACAGCAGATACCACTGATCACATCTCTCTCCCCTCCCTCTGCAGACCTTTTGCATTCTCTCATTCTTTCCACCCTATCTCCCGCCCGCCCTCCAGGTCTCTTTGGGGGGGGTGGGGTGGGGTGTGTGCTGCCTTTCCTTCTCAGAGCTTGGTGCCTCCCTGGGGGTCTCTAATGATGGTTGGAATTTCAGGGCAGTGCTGGGTGGAAACAGCTGAGTGAGTTCATTGCCCCCATGGAGGGAGGGGTACTCCAGCAAGAGAAAACTCTTTCTCCAGTACTGATAAATACTTTGGCATTTCTGCCTTAGTATTGTCATCTGAAGGGGAGGGAAGAGGGTTTGATCAAGGCCTGTTTTTGCCTCTAAAGCTTTGTTTTGTAATGATTTTATGAGGGCTTGGGAAATGTCTTTCAGGAATATGCAGCAGTCTTAATGAATACCTTACTCGTAGAATATGAGGACTCCACAACATCCTTTTTCAGCACCATGGAGAGCTCAAGCCTTTTCATAGTGTTCCTTGCCTTGGGTTGGTGGAAGGTACAGAGCTGAACCAATCCACTGAGCTGCTTGGTGTAGACCTACCCTTTTGCATAGCCCAGTTTATCTGTTCAATCTCCAGTTCTGATTGGTATGGATTCAGTGAGAGGCAGCAGCATTCCTGAGTGTCCCCATACTCCCTTTATTCTATTAGGTGTGTAAACCTCAGATTCATGTTGAGACTTACCCAAGGATTTGTCTAACTTGATAGTGGCATATGAGTGAAATCCTGCCTTCTACTCTATTGGTAACATAATTCATATTGTGATGCACAGGGTTTTTTAACAGCCCTTGAGAAAAACTCTCACCCCTACTTTTCTTTGCTTCCAGACCCCTGAGGAGACTTGAAGTTGCTTTTCATTCCTTGGGTTTGGGCTCTTTTTCTGCCGCTGCATGGAGAATGGCATTATTGCTCTGGCTCTCTGCCCAGTCTCGCTTTTGTATTTCTTTGATCTCATTGTTCAGAGGGTCTCAGAGAAGCCCCAAGAGCCATGCCTTTGCATGTTTAAGCTATTGATGCTTTTGAAATAACAGAGCGCCACTGTGTAAGAAGTGTATTAAAGGTCTATCTTGAACAAATTTGGGTCAATAGGTGGCAGTAGTCTACCTAGTCCCGAGGCCCTGACACCCCCTGAGCACATTTGATGGCCATTATATTTAAGGTTGTGAGATAGGAGGTCACATTGAAATAAAAATGGGGAGAAAAGCAGTCCCTTTTGGTGGGATCTGGGAAAGGCTGAAATGCACCGGCTTACTTCTGTGGGGTGTTGTGTATCAGCTGTGAAGGGCACTGGTAGGAAAGACCGGGGCCTCAGGTTAGGAGTGTGAGGTGCGTACTAGGGCGTCTCAGAGCTAGAGTGAGACTGTGTTCAATGAGGACCCGTGCTGAAAGGACTGAGTCTAGGGCTAGGGGAGTAGGGGGAGGTGGAGGAGGGAGGGGCAGAGCTGTGCGAAGGGACCACAGAAAGGGTGGGCTCTGACGGGGAGGACTGCGGGGGGAGGGGGAGCCGCAATCCTGAGCCCACGTCGTGGGGGAGGGGCGGGGAGCTACTGGTCGGCGCTTCCGCTGCATTGGCTCCCCTCCCCCACACTTCCCGAGGAGCCGGAGCAATGCTGGCAAATCTGTCTTCGTGTATTTATTATTATTAAAAATATGAAGGATCCTTCCTCCCTGAAAGCACAACAGATCATGTCTTCTCTCTCCCCTCCCTCTGCAGAGCTTTGGCATTCTCTCTCATTCTCTTCCACCCTTCCCCGGTCCCCCACCCCACCCCAGGCCTGTTCGGTGGGGGGACCCTTCCCTTCCCTTCTCAGAGCTCAGTGGTCCCTGCGGGTTTCTAATGACGGGTGGGAGTTTCAGGGCAGCGCTGGGAGGAAGCAGCTGAGTGAGGGGCGGCCAGTGCCCCAGGGAGGGAGCTGCACTCCAGCCTCTAGTGGGGAAAGGAAGTCACTTGGAAATAAAGAGAAAACCCTTTCTCCCGCTAATGAAGGGAGAAGCAGGTGCACGCGCTGCCTTCAGTACCTGGCATTCCTCCTTCTCCTCACCCTTCTCTTGTCTACTGTTTGAATTCTGAGAGGGAAACCTCCTTGGAATGGAAAAAGCCAGGAGTTCTCTGTCCGTGCCCACCGCCGCCCGCCCCTTGTTAAATCCCTGTCTTCCCAGGAGAGCCGCATAGAATGTATTCTTGTAGCCGGCGTGTTGTTACTGAGAGGCTTGAAGGGCAGAAGCCGTGGCTTCTCCCGCCCCACCTGCACCCCAGGCTCGCGCGTCCGGGCGGGGGGCCTCTTTTGTTGCTGTCTGTAGCCCTCCGCCTTGCCCATAGGTGGTGCTGCTGTTGCTCTGCGTGGAGGGGCCTCCCCACCCACGGCGCCCTCCCCCTCCCCCAGCCCTCTACTGCCTGATTGTTATTCCACCGGCGTCTCCTCTACTGTTCCCTTCCTCAAATTAATTTTGTGGCGCTCTTTTTCCGCAGTGCCATCTTCTTCCCCTCCCCCCCGCTCCAACTCCCTCGCTTTCTCTGTCTATTTCTCTCTCTCTCTGTCTGTCTGCAGGATTTTCATCTCATTCCCCTACCTCAGACCACACTCTTCCTTACTCCCTTTATTTCTCTTTATCTCTTCTGCCCTTGGCATCTTTCAGAGGACTCTCCTAATGAAAAGGGGCCATAGTGACGGTGGGTTAGAAAAGGGCAGCGTCGAGGAGCTCATGGGTCAGTGTTGAGGGCCAGGTCAGGGGAGGGCCAGAGGAGAATGCATGGGAAAGGGGAAGGAAAGATGCCCTGTGCTGTTCAGGTCTGTTCAGTGCCTGGATTTTAAATAGAGTTCACCTGACAAGGGACACTGTCTTACCTGAATCTATAAAATTTATTTCCACGTGCTGGGAAAAGGAGATGGGGAGTCACACGAATTCAGATTATAAGGGCTTCATCCAAAAACTTTTGGTTTAGATGGCTAAGGATAGCTGTGTGTTTGTTATCCTATATTTTATAGAATCTAGGGAAAAGCTACGCCCTAAAACCTGTTCTGTGGTCCTTAGGAAATGTCCTGTTTTTGATCTTTTGAGTCCTGTCCTCACCAGGGCAGCTGTTAGGCCTACTTGATGGGTACCCTGGCTGGTCACTACTGAGCACAATTCTGACTGCAGGATCTCATTTTTGTCTTGGTATTACTTCCTCCTGTCATTCCATGTCTGTCCTTTATCTCAGCCAAGTTTATGGGGTTGCCCCACTCAGCCATAACCTTTCCAGAATATAATCCAGAGTCACCAGACTGTCCCCTCACTCTTGCACCGCCTTGCTTCTCAACTTTATTTGGAGACCACTCATTCAGTGTGTGACCAAAACAGTCCCTCAGCTAGCCAGCACTGTTGTTGGTTGTACGGTTACCCAATTTCTAGTATGGCTTATTTTCCACTTACTGAGTTATTTTGGTGGATTAAAAGCATCCTGGTAGCTCCCTGGAAAAATACTATTGAGTCTTTGCCTTGTGTATGACCTAGGAATTATCCACAAGTTGGATGGTGTGGCCTCTTTCCTTCATTCCCAGGTGGGAAGAGATCTTAGTTTAAATGGCATCCTCAGAATGACTGGCTTCTATTTCCCATGCTTGTGTGTGTCAAGACTGACTCCTGGACTATGGAGACAGGCAGCATTTGCCTGCAAGGCAGAGCCCTAGAAAGAGCCATAGTGCAAAACTCCACATCCTTCACATTATTGCCTGTGATTTGGAGGTACCTATGGAAACCATTGCCTGCCTTTCCCCCCTTCCTGAGGTGTGTATGTCGGTGGAGGCAAAAGTGGTCTCTTTGTTTCCTCAGCTGATTTTCATACTGCCCTTTTCAGAGACCTTCACCCTATCTGAGGGACTCTAGTTAGGGTTGTGGACTCATGTAACTTAGATGGTGAAAGATGAAACCTGTTAAGGTCCTTCTCTCTCTGTCTCTTTTTTTTTTTTTTTCTGTCTGTGCTACGCAGCTTGTGGAACCTTAGTTCCCTAATGAGGAATTGAACCTGGGCCCCCCAGAAGTGAAAGTGATGAGTCCTAATGACTGGACCACCAGGGAATTCCCAAGGTCCCTCTCTTAAAAGCAAGGCTCAGTAAATATTTGTTGCCTGAATGGTAGGGACTTTTCACCTTTGGTACCTTCTCCAAGAGTAATACATTTTTAACTGTATCTTCTCTAGGTGTTTATGGTTATTGCAGCTAAAATTGTGTTGGTTAAGTTTTGTTTTCTTCCACTTAGGGGGAAGTGGTTTGTCCAAAACTGTACAAATATGTCATTAGCAGAGCTGGTGTTAGAACCCACATTCTCTTGGACATCTGGGTCTGACTTTTTGCTGACTGCCCCACAGAAACCAGTGTTCCCATTTCATCCCCAAATTCACTGGCTGCTCTGAAGCCAGCCCCACAGGTTTTGTAGTGAAGCCAGTTTTGGCCGCCGGCTGAAGGCAGGCGTCAGCAGTGTGAGAGCTGGAAGGTGGGGCAGAGCAGGTGCCTGGCTCCCTGGGAAGGGCTGGAACGCCCTCAGGTGTTACACAGTGCAGCCTGGTGTTACACAGTGCAGCCTACTGGAGGGGCCTTGATGTTCCCAGAGGTAGAAAATTTCTAAACTCCTGGTTTTTCTTTCCCATTCCAGATTTTAATTTGACTTTACTGCTGATATACTCCTTCCCCTAAGCCTTCTCCCCCTTATTTTCTCAGGAATGGATAGCACATGGTGGTGGCCCGGAAGCTCTGACATCTCCATTTTCGCCTTCCTGCTCCTTTTCAACTAGCTCTTGGCTTATGTGTCAATAAAATAAAAGACTCTGTGGACCACCCTCTTCCTGCTGCTAGTGCTGATCATCTTCAATCTTAAAGAATTTGTCTACTGTAAAGCCATCACTCTGCCCCTATTACATGTTCTCACAGTTTTTGTTGTTAATGAAAGCCTAGGCTAAAAAATAAGCTCAGAAAGCATTCACATATTTCCACTTGGACTGAGCCTGTAGCAGCTTACTCTGAGAACTGGCTTTGTCTCATTTGCCAGCCTTTAGTTTAGCCCCATGGCTGAACTCTGGAGAATAAAAAGCCCTTGAATGTCTACTTCTCTCCCAATTTCGATTCACTCACTACTAGCTCTTGCAGGAAGCCCTAGGTGGTAAAGAGATCAAATCAGAATTCCTAGCCAAGAAAACCCTGCCTCTTAGCTACAGTGACCCTTGTCTGGCATTGCATTCAGTTCTATGGCAGTTAACACCAGAGAAGCTTCATCTGGCTTCACACCCTCCTTCTCAGTCTCTTTCAGTCAAGCCTTAAGTAATCTATCACTGATGGCAGACTTTACTTGCCCTTTTATTCCCTCCCAAGGCTTTAAGTGCCAAAGCTTCCTAGATGCCTCCCACTAAAAGGGTGCTTTCTGAAACCCAACCTTCCCTCTCTTTCTCATCCCTCAGATCCTCAAATGGATCCCCTAAGAGTCAGCTGGGTGCTACTAAAAATCCCATTCCTCACCCATCTCCCTGCTGGAGCTCCAGGAATCGGATTCTGCAGCCTCCTGTCATCCTAGCCTCCTTTTCTGTTCACTTGGAAGCTTTTCTCCATTGCTTTTGATGATGTCCTGGTTTGGCAGAAGTATCCAGAATTTAGGAAGATCTTTCGGGATGAGTCCCCCATCTCCAGCGCCTTAGTTGGCCCTCAGAAGGATCTGCTCCCGCCCCTCCCTGCAGTGCCGCCGTCGCCCCTGTTGACCTAGGCTAGGCGAGATCAGGTGTGGAAGTCCTCTGCACAGACACTCCAGCCCGCTTCATCCTTCTTGGCAAACAAAGCATGGCTCTGCCCCTGACTTCCTCCTCTTTCTTTTCCATTGTATCTTCTCCTTCATCTAGTCCCACTTCTGCCTTCCCTTCTTGAATACCCTTCATTCCTCTTCCTTTAAACCTCCTCGTCCACTTGCTCACCATTGCCCATCTGTGCCCACTCCCTCCACACCCCCATCTTTCATTTTCAATCGCTATCTTCCTCATCGCCTGCTCATACTGAAGAAGCAGCATGTGAGGGGCAGAATGGCTGCAGAGCGGGTCCCTGATTGTCAGAGTAGACGATCCCTTTTTCTCCAGAGGATGAGTGGCAGTTTTTTCCCATCTTGTCCTCAATGGTCTTCAGGAGCTGGAGAGCCCCAAGATGCTGCCTCTCTTGGGGATGAACAAGCTCTCTGCTTCTCCCAGTCATTTGGCTCCGACACCCGATTCTTTTGCTCTTCCTGACTCTGGTTTGTCCTCGTTTCTCCCACTCTTTCTCTCGCTTTCTCCCTCTTTCTGTCTCTCCCCAGCATGAAGCGGCGGCAGGACTGAATGAGTCTGTCTAGAGGCTCTGCCAGGCTGTGCCCCTCACTTTTGCCCCTCCCCCTCACTCTGCGTACTGTTGGGGCGGGGGTTGGAGGGCGGTGGCATGGTGCCAACCAACCCAGAACCATCTGCAGTGCCTTCTGCACCGAGATGGGCTCTGCCTCTCCCGCCCGCCTCCTCGCCCACTCTTTCTCTCCCATTTTTAATTAACTGCTGAATTAATTAAATCCTACATGCTAATTAACATTCCTACAGGGAAGAATGCTAGGTCAGAAAAGTAGGAGGTGATAAAGCAGGGCTTCTGTCCATTCAGGATGGGAAACTTAGGGATGGGCAGGTAGGGGGAAAGAGGTTGAAGGGTTGAAGAGGGAAGAACAGCCTAAGAGTGGAAAGAAATCCGAGGGAGGTGTGAAGAGACAAAGATGGGAAATCACGGAAAGTGGAACTTATTGTAGAGGAAAATAATTAGTAGGATTGGAGAAATGAGATTATCTTGAAGCTTCTAAAGGTTAGAGGTTGAGTTGTGGGTTGCAAACATTAGCATGCTTGAATAGCCTGAGAAATAATGATACAGAGGATGCTGATTTGCTGGCTTGAATATCTTCTAAAGGAATAAATCTCAATTTTAATGGGAGTGCTTTAGGTTAGAAATGAAGGAGAACTTCCTCCTTGCAAGTCAGTGACATGCTCTAGTGAAGGAACTCTTTGGGAGATAGATGCATATCTGTCTAGAGTGGTTAAAGTTTGCCCCAAGCCAGATGAACTTGGAAGGTTTTTTCTAGATAGACATAGTCATCCTTAAATGTGTCCTGTGTCCTGGAGAACCAAGAAAGTTCAGGATAGGAAAATTCAGGGCACATTCTCACTTCACTTTCCTTGTTGGCATTCAGGGTGAACTTTGAGTTTGATCTTTGTGGTCTGTGAACATTTTAGGGATGAGACTTCTCTTCAAAGAAGATAATTGCTTCCCTGGAGGGTTTAGAGCACTGATTCCTAGCTAAGATTTCAAAGAGATGACTCTGATGACTAGCATGGCTTCTGTCCTTGACAGAGGGCTGGAGAGGAGAATAGAACAACTGGAGATATATATGGAGCAGAAGAATAGAGGTTGGGGTGTGGATTGACAAGGGTGTGTTGTAGCTGGTGTATATATATGGAGCAGAAGAAGGGAGGTTGGGGTGTGGATTGACAAGGGTGTATTGTAGCTGGTGTATATATATGGAGCAAAAGAAGGGAGGTTGGGGTGTGGATTGACAAGAGTGTGTTGCAGCTGGTGCCAAGGACTCTGTTAAGGTCACTCCCATGGTCCAACCTGGAAAAAAGAGGGACAGCTTGCTTGTCATTGTTTTTCTCCTCTGAAGAGTGAAGGAAACTATATTCAGTGCAGATCTAGACTCCCCTGTCTAGCCCTTCATTAAAGAACTGAAGTCTGTGAGGACTCCACTGGGTGAGCAGAGCCTCCTGACAGCAGCCGCCCCAACGTTTCCCAACCTTCTTCAGTCTGAAATATACCAGGAGCAAGTTCTACCTCATCTATTCTCCTAACCACTGTGCACTTAGATGGCATTTCCCACTATTATTCCTACTGCAGTAATTAATTCACTCAAAAATTTGCATATTCACTATACAGAGCATAGAATATCATAAATTTAAGCAACATTTATTAAGCATCTACTATCTGCCAGACACACAAGGCATTAGGTTTAGATATGAAAAAAGGGGATGAGATAGAATTGTTACATCAAAGGGGTTTATATTTTGGTTCAGGGGGAAAATAGAATATACAAGAATATACAATAAAGGGTAGTAAATTTTCTGTGTCTGTGTGCAAACTCCTTAGCACCTATTCCCTGTGCTGCTTTTGGGTCCTCTTGTACTGTTACTTGGGCTCCCCAGGTGGCTCGGTGGTGAAGAATCTTGCTTTTTAATGCAGGAGATGCAGGTTCAATCCCTGGGTCAGGAAAATCCCGTGGAGAAGGAAATGGCTACCCACTCCAGTATTCTTGTCTGGAGAATTCCATGGACAGAGGAGCCTGGTGGGCTGTAATCCATTGGATCGCAAAAGAGTTAGACACAACTTAATGACTAAACAATAACAACAATACTGTTACTTACTCTTTCTTGTGTATGTGTGTCTTAGCTGTCCACAGAGATGAGATGCTAGCTTTGTGAGGGCAGAAATCCAGGTCTTTAGAGTGAAGTACACGTAGCACTAGCCTAAAGCCTGACAATTCCCAGCTATTCAGCAAATGTATTGATTGGCATAGAGCCACATATCAAGGTGTCATAGTTGCTTTAGAGTCAGTGACATTTCCCAGTTGTGGCAAGTATTTGTCCTCTGGATGGAGGACACAGAAAGTTACAAAAAGTATGATGAGTAAGATAATTATATGATGAATAAGGGAGGTCACTCCATAGTATAATGTGGCTTAGGCTCCTCAGTAGGATTTGTTTTTTAATATATATTTATTTATTTGGCTGTGCTGGGTCTTAGTTGCAGTGATCTTCATTACAGCATGCAGGTTCTTCAGTTACTGCATGGTAACTCTTAGCTGTAGCACGTGAGATCTAGTTTTTCTGACCAGGAGTCAAACCCAGGCCCCTTGCATTGGGAGCATGGAGTCTTAGCCACTGGACTACCAGGGAAGTCGTTCCTCAACAGGATTTGAAGCCAGTTTCTGAAGGGGTGCAAGGGCTGAGGAGAGGTGGTGGAGTGAAGAGTAAAGGGCACAGGCTTGTTTTCATATATACTGTATTTCCTTTTATGTTTTTATAGACATTTCTCACCATCTTCCTACTCCAAAATTATAATTAGGCTACTTGTACACGTTTGTATCCTGTTTTGTTCAGTTCATATTGTATCATATTTTCTTATGCAATTAAAAAATCAGATGAAAGAATGCTTAATGTGGAGAAGGAAATGACATCCCACTCCAATATTCTTGCCTGGAAAATTCCATGGATGGAGGAGCCTTGTGGACCACAGTCTAGGGGGTCACAAAAGAGTTGGACATGACTTAGTGACAGCCCACACATACGCAGTGTATAATATATAATTTTTAATGCTGTGTAAAGCAAATAAAGACCTCTCTCTAAATAAAAATAAAAAATGCTTAAAAGAACATGTAATATCTCATCATGGATATACTGTAATTCATAAAACCATTTCTTTTTGTTAGACATTTAGTATGTTTGCAGGTTTGTTGTATTTTCCTTCTATGATGGACACCCACATCTTTATACAGAAATCTTTTGTGATTTTCTGAAGTGAAATTTCAGGGGCAAAGGATAAAGAACACCATTCTGGCCTCTGGAGTAACTGCCCCTGGAGGAGCTTATTATTTATTTTTTAAAATAACTTATTTTTTGAGTAGGTAAATAAGGTAAACACTACAAAAGGGAGTAGGTAGTGCAATGAAATTTCCTTCCACCTTCATCCCCCAGTTCCC